TGTGTGTGTGTGTGTGTGTGTGTGTGTGTGTGTGTGTATATTTTTTTTGTTTGTTTTTGTTTTTGAGCTGTTTATCAGAATCCTCAATAAAAACATGATTTTATTAATCAGAGTGGATTACCAGAACACTGCATGATGAGTTTCCTTTAATGTTTGTTCCGAGGGTTTTCAGAGCTGAAAGGACCTTGCGGTCACTGTAGACTGAAATATACTGCACCAACCACGGCCCGGCAGTCTGAGCAGCATTATGTCACATTAAATTCACCTAATTAAACACAGTGCTGACTTTACGCTCACAGTGAAGCTGTATAGAGAGCAGGTGACAGCTGCAGTGCATTGTTTTACTGTGTTAGAGCTTTATGGGTGAAGATCTTCAGTCTTTGCTCAGGCACTGAGCTCCATGAAGCCACTAATGCGCCTTCATTTCATCCAAATCACGTCTGTTAATTAGACTTATTAAGCCCTGTGTATAGCTTCACATAAATGTGACTCAAATGGCTCTAAACTGTGTTAATGTCAGATTATTGATATAGTTCAGATGCTTGAATGTACTGTAAATTGTACTGAAGCATCAGCAGAGCCTGTTGCTCACTCTGAAAGCTCAGTGTGACGTGGCTGCGAGCGTCTGAATGCAGAGCATTTATTGGATAGCAAAAACATTTATGGRTACATAACTAACTCAGGGAGAGCTATGAGTCAGTCAGAACATTCTGCTTACAGTTGGATCAGGACCTACTTAGAGCCTTGGCTGGACAAGTACCCTGCTACCTGAGATCCTTAGTTAGACACAACTGCTTCCTCATTAAATACAACGTAATGCTGCTGTTTAGTTTTATGTTTCATCACATCACCTACAGAGAGGTTTCTGTAAAACTAAAAGTCTTGCAGTGATACAGACCTGGTCAGGAGCTGAACTCTGTAAAGCATCTCTGTTGAGACCTGACCGTGGTTTTTCATCAAACTCTTCTGCCAAGATTATAAAATCATTCACAAAAATCAAAGTTTACTGAGTCTGCATGTTTTAAACAAATCTAAATTTATTCCAAGGGCTAAAGGAACGACTGGCAAAAGCCAAAGAAGAGTACTTTTGTAGTACAGCTCAAAAGGTTGGGGAAAAGTCAATTTAAACAGTATAAAAAGAATAATTGATACAGTATTAATGATTAAATATCAATTTCAAACATGTTTAATGTAAATCCAAACCAATTAACTTATAACAAACATTTAAAATTTGAAAAGAAAATGGAGAAACTGAATGAGAACCAAAAAATCAAACTAAAGTAATATATTTGCTGTAAAAAAAGGCAGTGTAAATGCTGACTGCTGAATGATTTTACTGAAAGACTGGTGAAAAGACTGAGCAATTAACATTAGCAAATGCTTGCTAAAACCTAATGTGGCAGGAGGCGAAAATCGTAGCAAAAGGAAGCTAAAAAGCTAAAAAAAAATACCAAATTGTTAAATACTAGCTAAAAGTGTCCATAAATTAGCTAAAAGCAGCAAATGGGTAGCTAAAATAAAAACAGAAAATTATCCAAATGCTTCACGTAGCAAAAGGTTAATAGAGTGGTAAAAGTACCCACAGGTAGCTAAAGTCTAATGTAGCAAGGAACAAACTAAAAGCTAATAATGGCTAAATGGTATCTAAAAGCAAACAGCAGCAAAAGGATACTAAAAATAGCTAAATGCTAGTGAATAGCATCAAACTGTTCCAAACAATCAAAAAATAAAAAGACCACTATCCTAAAGCTTAATGTAGTAAAAGGTTAACAGTGCTAAAAATARCAGAGGCTGTCCTAAAAACTAATGTAGCAAGAGGCTAACTAAAGTTAAAGGAGCAAAATGGTAGCTAGAAGCTAATGGTAGCAAACGACTAGCTAAAAATAATACAACAATATGTTAAAATTGATTTGATTTATTGATTTAACAGGAAAAGATTACTAAAAATCAAGCCTGACTCAGCATAATTGCTGTTTTACAGCAAGTTCCTGTTCTGCAGCACATAAAACACTCAGAAATACAGCATCACAATCACATCATTATACACCATAGACACAAAGACAAACAAGCATACCAAATTTCAGGAAGGCAGCATTTGCAAAATAGGACATCTAAAGATGAGCACAACAAAAAGTGTCCAGCAGATGGCAGACAAGATTCTTCTTAAAGGGCTGTAGTTTTTAAATGGACTTTATCTTTTGAGGAATGTCATTCCATGCTTTAGTATAAACATAGAAGAAAGACCTCTGGCCGTAACAGTTTTTAAAAGCTGGTAATGTCAGTTGTCCTTTTGTAACAGATCTAGTTGAATGACCACTTCCAGAAYTTGATTTGRGCADCAATGCACAGAGAGTTYCAWAABTGGCACYTTGGAAGATCTGAAAATATAAAWTAATACCACTATACAAAACATAATTCTGAAAAGTCAAGGCATCAGACAATGAAAGAACTGTACAGTGATGAGTCCAACCAGGAAGTTTTTTATGAATTTTGTAGGCCCTGTTGTAGAGCCTAACTATGGGTTCTAAGATTTCATTTGCTGTAAGAGACCAAACAGGTAAACAATACAACATAGTTGAGAGTATAATGGCATGAAGATGGATATTTGAAACAGAAGATGTCAGATTGGATCTATTTTTTAAATAAACGTATAATTTCTGTTTCAACTTAGTGGTTGAGACTTGTACATGATCACGATAAGTCAAATGAGAATCCAAAGTAATTCCAAGATATTTGTAGGTAGTGACAATATCAAGGGGTTTGTTTAAAAAAGTGAGTTGATTTTTTATATTGAAATGTCTCCTGGGAGAGGAAAAATACATGCACACAGTTTTTTTAACATTAATTGACAAAAGATTATCTTGAAGTCAACCATGAAATGTCTGAAGATCTGCTTGTAACTGACTATTAATAGATTCAATATTGAAATCAGACAAAAAACGAACAGTATCATCAGCATACATTAAAATATTTGAATACGTCAATATTTTTGGAAGGTCATTTATGTATAATAGGAAAAGCAGTGGGCCCAGGATGCTACCCTGCGCAACTCCCACGGAACAGGGCAGAGACCCGGACACAGAGCTTCCATCTTTCACAACCTGACACCTATCAGTCAAATAAGAGGAAAACATTTGTATTGCAGTCCTGATGCATCTCAGTAATTCAGGTAAAATATCAAAAAGAAAAAAATTGTATAGGTCCTCTGGACGGGTTCTTCTCTAATGAAACGTTTCGTCTCTCTTCCAAGAGACTTCTTCAGTCTGAGTTTCAGGCAAAATTCAGGCTTTTGAGTCCTGCCTCCATGTGACTGATACTCGCATCACATGGCTATYGTTGACAACTAATTAACACTTATTGTTAACAGGGGGTGGAGTGATACTGGCAATGGCCGTGCTGTAGGAGGGGGACAATTGAAATTTTTTCTTTTTGGTTTGTATTGCAGATGATGAAAGTTGAAAAGAAATCAACTTTTGTAAGAGAGTATAATGATCAACTGTGTCAAACGCTTTACGAAAATCAATACATACAGCACCAGTTACTTGACCTTTGTTCAAAGCAGCACGTATTTGTTCAGTGAATAAAATTAATGCAGACATGGTTGACCTTGACATGCGGAAACCATTTTGGCTATTGTTTAGCTTATTATTAGCTCCTAGATGCTGAAGTAGTTGGTTAAATAATGTTTTTTCAAGTAACTTACAAAAAATAGGAAGAACAGAAATTGGCCGATAGTTTGAAACTTCTGTTGGATCACCAGATTTAAAAATGGGAGTAATCTGAGCAAACTTCCAGGCATCAGGGAAAATAGACTGCACAATACATAATATAATTAAGCAAATGATGAAACAATGGTAAAAAGTGTTGGCAAGCATTTTCAAGAAATCCATATTTATCTTATAGTGGCAAAACTCTAGCTAAAAGTAGCAAAGGGCTAGCTAAAAAACTAAAGTAACATCAAGAAGACAAAAGCAGGTGTACTGAAGCAGAATGAACTGAAAATATCTTGATGTATTTCTTCAGGGAAAATATTTGATTAATATAGTATTAATATACTGTAGTTACCAAAGAAGGTAACCAAAAGTTACAACTCCCATCTCCTGAGGGAGCTGAATGTTTTGATGTATGGATGGATAGAAAAATGTACAATGTATGCAGATTCAGTTAGGTTTGGAAAATAACTTATGGAAAAATACAAAAATAAAAGGATAATAGGAATGTGAATGCTGAGTCAACAAAAACAAAGAATTGAAACATTTCTGTAAACGTGTATATTTCAGCCTGAAACTGTTTGCAGACACAAAATAAAGAGGTGAAGAAAACTTTGATCCTTCCTAAAGCTGACTGGTTAAACTGGTCTCCAGCCACCTCAGCCTGAACGGGACAGAAATGGGACTTCTGGTCTGGGAAAGTGGAGCAAAGGGGGCCGGTGGGGTCGGGGGGAGGACGTGGAAAACGGGGGCAAAGAAATGTTTGAATGCTTAGAAGATCCAAACAGAAGTACTGAGGAGGAGGAGGAGGGGTGGGGGTGAATGAATGCTCTGACGTCAGTGCTGTCCCTTGACGTAGAGCCAGGAGACCCAAGAGGCTTGTAGCTCTGGGAACACACACACACACACACACACACACACACACACACACACACACACACACACCTGTAGTTGTAGCCCACTCATGAGACCCTCCTGCAAACACTTGTTTCTTGCGAAACCTTCCCATCATCAACACCCACGTCCCACAGAGGCGAGTACTCTCCAGCCTCTGAATGGCTCGGTGGCGGTGGGTTAACAGCGGGGCCGGGATGAGTCGACGGCGAGCAGCACAACGGGGAGCGTGGAATGAACAACCAGACACTATTATTATTATTTTTCTTTCTTTTTGTGTGCCTGGCATGCAGTCTGCAGAGGTCACTCACATTCAAACAGACACAAAAATCATCCAACGAACTGAGCAGTCCAAATTAGGTTTGTTAAAATCCAAATAAAAGGAAAACGAATGAACAGTTGCTGTTCTTGATGTCCTGGTTGATTATGAAACTAATCCTGTGTGCTGCAGATGATGGGGAAACCCAGTGAGTCACCCGTGGGGCGGCAGCACCAGAGTCACCCAGAGGAGACGGAGGAGGAGCTGAGGGAGCATCAGGACGGAGGAGGAGCTCTGCCGCCTGGGGTCACCATCAAGCAGGAGCCCCCCGATCCGCAGGAGCTGCAGGAGGAGGCGCTCCAGCAGCAGCAGCACCGGGAGAGGCAGGCGGAGCAGGAGCTGCTTTTCAGACAGGTAAAACAGAAAGAATCAATGGAGGTTTTAGAAAATGATTTGTTTTGTGATTTTCTTGGGGAAATACTTCCTGCCACCTGTCAGAATGAGTAAAAATGTGTGGAATCTTTGTGATTAATTCAAACAAGCCATGAAAGTTAAATCTTTAGTCTTGGCTGCCACCTGTTGGCCACATGTTGTAATTACAGCAGAAATGTCATTTTAAAAGATGTTTTYCCCTGTTTTTGAGCAGCAGGCTCTCCTGTTAGAGCAGCAGCGGATTCACCAGCTGAGAAACTATCAGGCCTCCATGGAGGCCGCAGGGTTGTCCGTTTCTTTCCCGGGTCACCGTCCCCTGTCCAGAGCCCAGTCGTCTCCGGCCTCGACTCCCTCCTTCCCGATGGTTCCTGCACCCGATCCTCCCGTCAAACCTCGCTTCACCACAGGTCTGCGCTGCCCTCTGCCCTCCTGTGCTGCTGAGGTGCCAAGTTTGTTCAAATCTTAAACTGCAGAGTTTGGATTTTAGCTTCACTTCCATTCAATCCTTAAAAAAACAGAGAGCTTAAATTGACCTGGAAACTGTGACACTACTACCAACAGACTGTGTGAATACTGAGAGCTGAACGAAGAAACTGAAACAAACATTGACCAAATCCATCAAAATAAAACTTTAGCAGAACAGCTGAAAGTTCAGATTTGCAAAAAAAAAAAAAAACCCTACTTGAAAGCTGAAATTAGAAAAAGAGTTGCCAAATGATAAGAAATAAATTGCAAAATGTAGCTAAAAGCTAAAAAATCCAAAACAATTGCTGAAAGCTAAAATTAACTAAATAGTAGCTAAAAGACAAAAATGAGCAAAACAACAGATGGGGCCTGCAAAATTGTATTTAATAGCTATACTTACCAGAAAATGAGCTAAAAGCTGCACATGAGTAGTTAAACACCAAAGGTAACAAAACGGTAACCAAAAGTAAATAAAAAATGGCAAAAAGTAGCTAAAAGCTAAAGTAAACTAAAATGCTAAACCTACAATATGATCGCATAAACCTAAAATTAGCAGAACAGTCACTAAATGCTAATATTGACACAATAGTAGCTAAAAGTTGAAATTAGCTCAACACAAGCTAAGACCTGCAAAACAGTATCCAAAAACTAAAATCAGAAAATGGTAATTAAAAGCTTTTTTTGAAATACCTTTTTTTATAATTGATCATGACCTGAATGACTAAGAATCCTCACTAGCAAAATTAAAAGCTAAAATTATAAGAACAGAAACAAGCTAAAGTTTGCAGAAAAGTTGCTCAAACTAGCAAAACAGTAGCTAGGAGCTAAAATATAAAGGAAGTGTTCTAAAGTAAATTTCGAAAACAATTTAAAGAGTTCTTCATTCAACGAGAAAGGAGTCATACTGTAGGTATTGGAGTCTCAGGTATATAAGTTACTAGAACAAAAAAATCATAGCAGTGAAGAAGCTAAAAACGTATATATGAATAGTAAAAATACCTTAAAGTTTGATGTGTAAATGGATAAAATGTTTAAAAGTTTGACAAATAAATCCTAACTTTTGATCTAAAAGTCCCTTTAGACATAAAATGATTGTCTCAGCTGTGAGGCTGCTGTTAGCTTTTCYATGCAGAAGTAAAACATATTTTTAGTTTTGGCCCACTTTACTCCCACTGAGTTCCTAAGTACTCTGAGAAATCAGGAGCGTGGGATGGGAATGTGGATTTCAGGCTGTAGATTTTAGATTTTTACAGACTCAGTCAGTTGAGAACACACAGTTCAGCAGGTCTGTTTAAACAACCTGTGTAACATTAGATGATAGCAGTTGATTGTAAAGCATGTTTTAGTTGAAAACAATCCCATGTAAGAGTTATTTGTAAGCTTCTTTCTGCCCCCTCAGGTCTGGTGTACGACTCCCTGATGCAGAAGCACCAGTGCATGTGTGGAAACACCAACAGCCATCCGGAGCACGCGGGGAGGATTCAGAGCATCTGGTCGCGTCTGCAGGAGACCGGACTCAAAACGCAGTGTGAGGTAGGCGTGGCCAACAAAAACGCCGCCGCCACCGCTTGACGTGACACACCGAGTAAAGTGCATGTGAGAGCTCCGTCTGTCTGTGTGTGATTAGTGCATCCGTGGGAGGAAGGCCACTCTGGAGGAGCTGCAGACGGTCCACTCTGAAGCCCACGTGCTGCTGTACGGAACCAACCCACTCCGACAGAAACTTGATTGTAAGCCCAACGCTCAGAATGCAGCTGAACCTCTGCAGCTGATTTCCTCTAATGTGATGTTTCCTCCTGATCACAGGTTCAATAACTCCAATGTTTGTACGGCTGCCGTGTGGAGGGGTGGGGGTGAGTGCCACTTCATTTTATTCTCACACAAACATATGAGGCTGTAAGTCTTGTATATATTACTTTAGACTGGATTGGATTTTGGTGTTGTTACAACCCGGCTCGAGAGCCATAACATATGTGAAGACACGACACACAGGAACCAGTTTTAAAACCTTAAAGGTATTTATTAAAGTTTTGTCTAGGATTAGGTGAGTTCCTTTGTCCGGTTTGGTGCTCCGTAGCTCCCGAATGCACGGACATTTCTGACCCCAGCTGGACCCTCTGAAGTCCGTGGTCCAGATTTAGTTCCACCTATTACGATCAAGTTTGCGGTCCAGATTTCCTTGACCACGTCGTGTCTTCCGTGCACCTCCGCGTCCGCGTTTCAGAGTCTTTTCTGCTGCTCCGTAAAACCAGACTCGGCATCCACACACCAGCAGGACGTCTCTCCTCTCCCGGCAGCAGAGAGGAAGCAGCAGGTCCGGGCACCAGCGCCCAGTGAAGTGAACGCGATCGTCAACTTCAACGTGAATGTGCCAATATCCCCCCACGACRTCAGCGAATGAGGTCGACGTGTGTGAGGCACGCCGTATGAGGTGGCSACGCCGTGTGTGAGGCGTGAGAGCAGACAGCAGSAGACMGACAGGACAGGTCAGGTAGCAGAAGCAGCCCACCTCAGCACTCCAGGTGCACGCTTCAAATAGCGTACAGGCCACACCCCCTAAGGATGACCTGTGAGGAAGCACAATTAAACAAATAGGCGGCAGCTGGCTGCAATAAGCAGCAGGGCCGTCACAGTGTCAATGCTAAAACTTCTCAGAATTTTAGCAGGGGTTTTGCTCGTTTTAGCCAAAGGTTGTTTTTGTGGATCTGTGTTTGATTACTCTGGCTGGCTTTTTCAAGGACCAGGATGTGGGACACAAAAATCTGAATTTTAGAACTGAAACTGAATTCTAGAATTGAAAGTGAAAGTAGTCAAACTGAATTTTTAATAAACCAAAATATAGTTTCAAAGCAAATTTATTCAAATTCAAAACTTTAAACTCAGTTTCAAATCATTAAATTCAGTTTCTATTTAGTGAAATTCATTTTCAAACCAATGCATTCAATTTCAAATTATGAACATTCAGATTCAATCTGAGCGATTCAAATTCAGTTCCTGCTGGCACAAGATTTATCCCATAGTTTTCCTCTAATTTTGGCTTTTAGCTACTGAGACGTTTATTTTCTAAACATGATGTCCCAGTRGCTTTCAAACCCCAAAACACATTACGGCAAAGTCTGGTTCACCCCAAAGATCCGGTGCCCCGGCACAAACAGAGCAATGTTGTATATGCTGTTAAGTGCCAGGAGGACTGCGACCAGTTATACATTGGGGAAACAAAGCAGCCATTGTTCAAAGGAATGTCCAAACACAGACAAGTTACATCTTATGTCCAGAACTCTGCAGTTTTCAGTCA